GCAGTCATGGGAGTCGTCACGGAAGGGACAGGCCACCTGTGGCTCCTCACTGTAGTTGATCACCTGGCGCAGACACTCCCTGTGGGAACAAGCAGCTGTCACTGTGAGGGTGGGGGTCTCGGGGCTGATCACCACAAGAGATGAGGATAGGCTTGGGGCTGGGGGGTCTCAGAGCTGGTCACTTGTGAGGGCTGGGGGTCGTCTCAGGGTTGGTCACCATAATGGTGGAGAACCCAGAGCTGGTCATCATAAGGGCTGGGGAGGGTCTAATGGCCAGTCACCACAAGGGTGGGGAGCTTGGGGACAGTCACTGTGAGGGTGTCAGGGGGTCTTGGGGCTGGTCACCATGATGGCCAGGGAGGCTGTGAGGGCAGGTCACCACAAGGGCTGGGGGAAGGGGGTGGTGTCTCAGGGCTGGTCACCCTAAGGGCTGAGGTTGGTCGGGGTCTTGGAAGCCAGTCACCACAAGAGCCAGGGGGTCCCGGAGCTGGAGGGGCTCAGGGCAGTACCTGCAGAAGTTGTGCAGACACTCGCGCAGCAGCACCCCCTCGCCCGGGGCCACCTGCTGGTAGCAGATGCGACATTCCAGCACGTCCCGGTTGGGCACCAGCACCTCCTGTTCCGCCTGCAGCAGCTGCTGGAAGTTCCGAAGCCGCTCGGCCTCCAGTGCCTGCCGGCCAGGAACAGCCCGGTCAGCTCCGCCACTGGCCCCCAGAACGGCATTTGTTCCCTGCAGCCGAGGTTGCCCGGCTGGAGGGGGCACCTCTGGCTCCTCCCCACAGGGAGTGTGGCTGCCACCTGGAGAGACACTTGTGGCCGCCATCCAGGTGACCTGAGCCACTAGTCCCAAGTTCCCTACCTCTTTGGTACCCAACACCTGCACTCCAGGAGTCGGGTCTGGATTTGAGGGGATCCCCCCAGGGAAAGAAGAGCAGAGGGGAGGTAGATGCCACTGGCTGCACCCCCTGTCACAGAGCCGTGCTCTGTCATTTCCATTTCCCCATCCATTTCCCACACCCGCACAGTCAAGAGGCACAGGCATTTTTCCAGGGACCCACCGTGTCCTGCTGCCCCCTCCCACCCCATGCTCCCTCCTCAGCACTCAGCCGGGCCCCCCAGGCCCCTGGCACGGCAGCAGCCATGAGGCTGCAGCACCAAACAACCCCCACCCTGGTGACAGAGGACCGCTCTGTGCCCCCCAGCTCTCTGCAGCCCTGCAGGGAAGCACCCACCAACTGCATCCCCATTTCATGGCACAACTGCCCCCCAGCAGTCCCCCCACGCCACAGCGCAGCTGGCACAAGGAGAAGCAGAGCCATGTTGGTGGGATCAGGTTTAATGGGGGCAGGAGCCCACCCATGGCACCGCCGGGAGACACCACCAGAAGACATAGCGCCCAACCCAGAGGCCTGTCCTTCCCTCGGCTGCAGGACGGGAGTTCCAGGGCAAAGTCCAACCTGGCATAATCCAACCTGCTGTTCCCATGGTGCCAGCAGCCAGAGGGACCCATGGCATGAGGAGCCCTGGTCTGAGACCCCCAGAGAACGGCTCCTAAGAGCCTGAGACCTGCCCTCAGCAGGGCCTCTGGAGCCTAAGACCCCCAGAGAATGGCCCCCTGAACTTGAGACCTCCCAGAGAACAGCCCCTCTGAGCCTGAGACCCCTGAGCATGGCCCCCTGAGCCTCAGAGAACCCAAGCATGTGTCCCTGAGCCTGAGACCCCCAGAGTACTGCCATCCCTAAGCCTCAGAGACCCCCAGAGCAGTCCCAGGCTGAGCACCATCAGTACTGACAGTGCCAGCCCCTGGCTACACTGGCTCTTCCCTGAAGCCCTCATGGAGCGGCTGGCAGCATTGGGGCTGGCCATGTCCTCCCCGATTCCTACCCCTGAAGAGGGCTCAGAGACCACCTGTGACCCCGAGGGTCCCAGTGGGTGTGGGGCAGAGCAGCAGCAAGGCCAAGGGCTTTGGCCAGGCAAAACCCCTGGCACGGGGAGGCGAAGGGAAAACTACCAGGGCTGGGACCCTTGCATTCCCCTGGCAGTCCCCAGCTCCCAGATCCCCTGGCACATCTCCCCCAGCCCAGCTTCTCCTGTCCAAAGTTCCCACATCAGCCCTGGGGGGTGAGTAAGGGGGCAGCCCGGCGGCAGCCGCTGGGCGCACGCGGTGGGCACCAAGTCCCAGGGGGCACTGGGGGGGCCTGGCTGGGGTGCAGACTGGGGTGTCCAAGGGGCCAGGTGTGGGGTGGCTAGCAGAACTCGGAGGACAGGTGGATGAAGTCATCCAAGGAACCCGAGCCCAGGACGCAGTGCGCAGCTGAGCCATCCTCTCTCCTTCCCTTTTCCTATCGGGATCCCGGCACAAGAGAAAAAAGAAAGAGAAGGTTTGGTCAGTGGCTGAGCCTGAAGCCCCCCGAGTCCCGCAGCGCAGCCCACAGCCATGGCCCTGGGTGTGGGAGGGTCCCATCGGACCCTCCACGTGTCTATGAGATGAGAAACAGTGTCCAGGGAACAGGAGCAAGCACAGCCTGACCTCAGCACAGGGTTGCCAGCATGGCATGACATGCAGTTCTGTGAGAGAAGGATGTGCCAGAGCAGGTGCCATGTCCTGCCTGCACAGTCACAGATCCCTGCCAGCCCAGGAGCATCCCCAGATCCCTGCCACAGCATCTCCTTCGATAGCCAAAACCACCACACTCACAACAAGGCACCTCGGGACGCACAGGCAGGCAGTGGCTGCCCCTTGGGGAGGTGAGGAAGGGGGCTGTGACAGCCCCCCTGGGCTGCCCCTCCTTTCCAGACCCTGTCCCGGAGCGGTGCAGGATCCGTGCACATGAGACCTCCAAAAACTGCCCGTGTCCGATCCTCCCCGGCTCTGTTGCCAGGGTGCTGGTGAGCCCCCCTCACCTGCTGGTACTGCCGGATCCCCTCCTGCTCCTGCTGCATCCTCCACAGCTCTGTCTCGTCTGGTTTGTAGCCACCGGGGACCACATAGTCGTCAGGACGGTCGGTGCTGCACATCTCGCAGCCCGGCCGTGTGGGTTTGTTGATGAAGGTGCATTTGGGACAGGCCCAGCCCGCCTGCAAGGACACGGCAGAGATGGAGAGACTGGGAAAAATGCTTTGGAGAGAGGCAAGAGGGGGATAGGACACAGAGGGAGTGGTCACCCTTCTCCAGCACCCTCAGACTGGAAGAAAGGGCAGGGGCACAGAAGGGTGGCTGAGGGGGACATGTACCTGCACCGGTGAGGGTGGGCTGGTGGCAGCAGCCTTAGGCTGGCCACTGACCAGGTCACCAATCTGCAGCGTGTCCAGGTGCTGGCTGATCTCCCTGATGTCCATTCTCCTGCTGGCTTCACTGCCCCAGCCTGGAGAGCAACACCAGGAAACAGGGACGTTAAAGCCATCCTAGGGACTGGCACGGTGCCGCCAGCCAGGCCAGGCCCAGAGGGTGCTACGCTGTGTTGGGGGGCCTCTTGTCCACAGGGATGAGGCTGCTCATCACAGGACAGGCCTCAGGCAGGAAGCATGGATCCCGGGGACCAGCCCACTGGAACAAGCCAGGTTGGCTCACAGTGCCAAGCCCATTCCCAGTCCCAAGGAGCCTGGCAGCAGGGACCCCAGCATGTGACAAGAGGAGAGTCAGTGCACTGGATCTCTCCTCACCCCATTTTTGGTAAAGGGAAAAGCAACAGGAAGGGCTACAATTACTCTTGCCAAGCACAGAGGGTGCAGGCGAGTGGGGGCTTCCCAAGACAAAGGATATTGGCACCCAGAGACCACTCCAGATTTCCTCCCCACCCTGGCACAGGACCCCCTAATGCCGGGGTCTCCATCCCTGGGGCCACCCCTGGTTTGTCCCCCTGCATTGGAGCTGGGCAGGACAGGGGCTGCCCTGCCCACCAGAAGAGCCAGACCTTTCCTGGGAGAGGTGCTGGGCAGGGTGTTGTATCTGCGTGCCACGGCAGAGTCCTCAGTGGGTGAGGAGGTGCAGCTGAGCATGACCCGTGCCTGGTCCTCCTCGTACTGCTGCTCCGTCAGCTCGGCCGTGTGCGCTGACAGCAGGTACAGGAAGGCCGTGTCGCCGTTGCCGCGGATGCCATAGGAGCCAACGGTCCGCTCGTCCACACACAGGCACTGCCCGATGATCCAGCGCTGAACCAAGGGGTGGAACCCGTAATCCAGGAAAACCTGAGCAGCCAAAGAAGCTGGGAGGTGAACACACAGCCCTGGCTCCCCTGTGGCCTCTCTCTCTGGCAGGGCCAATTCCACGCTGGCACAGGCCAGCAAGCCAGGGGTACCAGTGATGAACCTGTGAGAGGCTGGTGAGGGGCAAGTGAAGGGCCAGGGAAGGGCTGGCTCCACAGACAGGAGGGGGTGCGGGAGCCCCACTCCCCCTTGGCATTTGGAAAGGGAGTATGGAGACCCCAGGAGCCCTGTCCCCCATCCAGGCTGGTGCTGCCCCATACCTGCTGCTTGAGCGTGGCGATGGTAGTGTGAGCACGAACCCTGATGGTGACGCTGGCCGAAGATGTGGCATCCTCCACCACAACCTTCATGCTGGAGAAGAGACGGAGCTGCTGTTGGCTCAGGGCTGGGGGCACAGGGGGTCCTGCCATTGGCACGATGCTCCCACAGAGCCAGTGCTGCAGGCCATGTCCCATGAGGGGGGTCCTGGCAGGTCCAACACCAGGTTCCCAACTATGATCCATACACTAAATCCCAGGGAACTGGGACAGGTACCCCCAGCCCTTACCCTGCCCTCATCTTTCACACTCACCAGGAATTATTTTCCCACCCATTTTGTTTATTCCAGCCTTATCTCCACAGCCTCCACACAGCCTTGGGCAACGATTTTGATTTAGAAAAAGTCTTTCATTTAACTTGCTTTAAATCTGGTGCTTTCTCATTTCCCTGGGCCTCCAAGTCTGTCCCATGAACAAATATTACCTTTCTCCACTCTGGACCCCCCAGACTCTCTCATCTTCCAGCTGCCCCCCCTTCAGACCAGAATCCAGTTCTTCTCTTGTAAAGGTGTTTCATGCCTGAGACCATCTCACCCCTTCTCTGTATCCAACACAGTGCGACCAAAGCTGGATTTCCCAAGACAGAAACCAGCAGGTAGTGCTGGCACCTCCTTTGTGTTCCCTGTCCTTTTTCCCCAACGATCCTGAACGCTGCAGGTCCTGTGGAACCCACTAAAGCTGCCATGTCTGTGTCCAGGCCTGCAGCCTGGCTGCCTGCTGTCCTGTGCCCTGGTCCACCAGTGCCAAGCTGGAGCACTTAGAGCCACAGAACCTGTCTGGGTACAGACCTCCCATCTCACCATCATTTCCAGGTCACTTGTGTCCCAGAAGCAGCCCTGGCTCCGTAGGTGTCTCAGCTCTCCCCTGTGATGGGCAGTTTCTGCCCTCTGCCTCCCACCTTCATCAAGCCAGAGGAGGATCCTGCTCCACAGCACACTACTTTCCTTCTTGAAGGCTTTAAGGAAGCTCCTTGGAAGCACTGCAGCATTCCCGCCACAGCACAACAGCCAGGCTGCCCAGCCCTTTGGCTCACTGGCCCCATCTGGGGTGCCCACAGGGTTGGGAGCCACAGCTCTGCCCAGTTCCCAACCTTTGCCCATGAATCTCCCCAGTCCAGTTCTGGCCACTGCTGCCTTGGTATGAAACTGGTGTTTGAACCTTTGGAGGCCATGGGACAGTGCTGTGTGGAGCAGGTGCCCAGGCACAAAGCAGAGGGAGACTCCACAGGATCAGGTCCCTGCTATGCCAGCTGTTGTTCAGCCTCTGGATTCGTTTTTTTTTGGTAGCGCCCAATACTCCGTCCCTACATCCCTCCCTCTCTTTCCTCCCAGGAGCTAGTCAACAAGTACAAATCCCAGGAAACCATGTCAAGAAGATGGACCCAAAGGCCACATAGCCCAGGGACACAGGGCAAATGACCCAAATATCCAGCAAAGCAGCAGAGCTGCAGGTGAGAAAGTAGGGATGTCCCCAGGCTCGTGGGATGGCAGGCAGCTCTGGCACAGGGCCCATGGGAGCACAGCTCCAGCTCCAACCACAAAAGGTTGTGTTTCCATGGACCTGGGGAGGGAGGCGGAGGAAGAAGAGGAGTGCTCGTGCTGGGCCCAGGAATGGTGGTTGAGGCTCACCTGATGTCCTCTGTGGGGTAGTTGGACTCCTTCCAGAGGATGCTGAGCGTGGCCTGCTGGCGCGCCAGAGCTGCCGCACAGAGTGAGGCCGCCTCCTCATCACCAAATTCGATGGCCTGGGCGAGCTGCAGGGCCAGTTCCTCTGCAGAGCAGAAGGGAGAAGCGTGCAGCAGCAGCGGGGCTGCAGACCCCTCCCCAAGCACCCAGGGGGCTCTGCCACAGCCTCACAGCTAGAAACAGCAATTCCTGCCCAGCTCAGCCCTGGATGAGGCTCCTCAGACACACATTGCTCCCAGGAAAGGGGAGGACCAGCCATGCTGCTGCAGAGCTGCAACTGAGGGATCTACAGAGGGCCCTGGAAAGGCTGGACTAATGGGCTGAGGCAAACTGTACAAGGTTCAACCAGACCAAGTGCAGGGTACTGCCTGTGGGCCACACCAACCCCCCCCAGTGCTCTAGGCTTGGGGAAGAGTGGCCAGGAAGTGCCTGGAGGAAAAGGACCTGGGGGTGGTGGTTGACAGTGGCTGGAGATGAGCCACGGTGTACCCAGCTTGATCACCAGCATCCTGGCTTGTGTCAGCACTGGATTGGCCAGGAGGACCAGGGCAGGGATTGTTCCCCTGTGCTGGGAAGCAGTGAGGAGGCACCTGGAATCCTGGGGTCAGTTTTGGGTGAGAAAAGGGACATGGAGGGGCTGGAGCGTGTCCAGGGAAGGGCCCTGGAGCTGGGGAAGGGGCTGGAGCAGAAGGAGAAGGGGCTGGAGAACTTGTGAGGAGCAGCTGAGGGAGCTGGGGGTGTCCAGCCTAGAGCAAAGGAGGCTGAGGGGAGACCTTCTGGCTCTGCAGCTGCTGAGAGGAGGTTGGAGCCAGGGAGGTCGGGCTCTGCTCCCGAGGAACAAGCCCTGGGCCAAGAGGGAACGGCCTCAAGTTGTGCCAGGGGAGGTTGAGGTTGGATCTGGGGAACAATTCCTGCCTGGCAAGGGTTGTCAGGGCCTGGCCCAGGCTGCCCAGGGCAGGGGGGGAGTCCCCATCCCTGGAGGGGTTTCCAAGCCCTGGAGATGGTGCTGAGGGACATGGGGCAGTGGTGGCCTTGGCAGGGCTGGGGGAATGGATGAGCTGGATGATCCTAAAGCTCTTTTCCACCCCTCGATGCTCCCATCAGTTTAAGATCAAGGAGCTGCAGTCAGCCCCAGGTGGGGGAGTAGCTGGGCCCTGTCCCCCACCCGAGGGGTTGGTGAATCCCTGCACATGAGAAGAGCCAGGACACCTCCCCCCTCTGGTACCTTTCTCGGAAAGCTCCGAATACGGAGCAGCCTCCAGCTCCTGGTCTGCAGAGCCCCCCCCAGCAGCTGCAGGCAGGGATGAGTCCTGGGATGCCAGCGTGCTGTCCGAGGCTGAGGGACAGCAGGAACACGTCAGTGCCACCCCCAGAGCTGTGACAGTCATCAACTGCCCTCTCCAGGGAGCTCCACTGGGGAAGGATGCATTGGGACGCCCTGGGCTACAACAGGTCGCTTGAGATGAAGGTAACAGCGACCCTAAGCCAGGCCCCAAAGGTGACTGAGCTCAGGGAGCACCAGCTCAGCCCCACTGTCAAGCCCTGGTCTCCCCCCAGCTGCCAGAACTACCGGGCAGCAGGGCTGCACCTGCCCCACTGGCTCCCCAGGCCTTCCTGGTGGGGTTTTTCCATGCCACTTCCCACCTCCTGCCTCCTGGGGTCTCCTCCACCCCCTTAGATGCTCCAACACACAGAAGAATCCCTGAACCTCCCTCTCCAGTTTAAAACCTCAGAGGAGGAGGAGGGCAAGGTGTTGCCCCAGCAGTTGGAGAGCCTGCAGCAGCTGGTACCACAATTATTTAATGGCAGGGACAGCCCCAGCCTTGTTCCCCAGCTGGGGACATTGACTATTAGGGCTGGGGGAAGCCCAGCAGCCCCACGGGGCAGCCCCCGGGTCCCTGTCAGCACTGACCCTTCTGCACCTCCCGCAAGGAGCTGCTGACGATCGTCCACCACTTCTGGGCCTCCCGCTCCTCCTCGAAGTTCAGCACCAGAGGCTCATCTGTGGAGCCGGGCACCGCCAGCTCATGGCACGTGGGGCTCCGCACCTTGTACGAGATGTCCTTCAGGTCATACTCAGCCATGTTCTGAGGGAAGGAGGATGAGGGGTCAGGCCACCAGGGAGCCAGGCTGCAGCGGGCCAGGGGGCAATCATGGCATCCAAGCCAGGACCAGGGGACACGGAGCCGTCCCTCACCTCCACAATGGCCTCTCCCAAGGGAAGTGGTCAGACACTAACACCAAGCCAAGCACAACGCTCCATCCCTGGGTACTGAGCTACAGACCCAGTCCGACACTGGTCCTCTGTGCCCAGGGCTGTCCACAGCCCTGCATCCTCCCCCACCACCACACGCCACCAGGCAGCACCCAGGCCTGTCACCTTCTCACAGCCACCCACCTGGCCCAGAGCCACCATGTGCATACACTCAAAGGCAGCCCAGGATAATCTCCTCTCTCAGGTGCAGGAAACACTCAAGAACAACTCAGGGGCCCTGACACTGGTGCTGGGAGGGGAGGCAGCCCATTCCTTCCCACTTTCACAGACTTGGCAAAATCCTTCCCCACACACAAAGGCACCTTGGAGTGCAGCTTCCCATGTCCCTCCTGGCTCCCAGCCTTACTCCTCATTCTGTCTGATCCAGATCTGGGCTTCATGTCAGAGCTTTCAATTCCCCTTTGGTGAAATGGCAGCTAGGGAGGAACTGGGAGGGGCTGGGCTGAGGCAGACACCTGCCTCCTGCCCCACAGGCAGCAAGCGGGCAGGACCTGCTGCACCTGACAGGGACAGCAGGGCTGGATGGAAGATCAAGAGAAATGGCTGGTTTCCTTGCCCCTTGTCTGAGTTTAATGTCCTACAACATTCTACCCCATCCTGCCCTGCCAACAAAAGAATTACAGGAATGGGGGGAAAGAGAAAAGCTGATGAAAAGGTCCCCCCTTACCAGCAGCCCTCCCTTTGGTCATCACCTGAAAGGGTCCAACCAGCATCAGAGCAGCCCCCAGGGGTACCCCGCTCCCACATCCTGGGGGACAGATTTGGAACCAAAGAGCAGGAAGGGCAAAGAGCTTCAGCTGGGCTGATGGGCTCTGGGATACATCTTTGCCAGGCTCACCCCCCGGGTCAGGAACAGCTGTCCTCAACACTCAGCCATGTCAGCTGTGGCCTCACACCCCTGCCTGCTGCCTGAATCCATCAGGACAACATCCAGGAAAACACAGGTCCAACTTGCTGGGTACCCAGAGCTGCCAAGGGACACCCAGTCCCCTCCCTCCTCTCCAAGCTCTGAGGGCTGAGCAGCCCTCTGGAGCTGACAGAGGTTCCTTTGGCATCCCGGGAGCTGATCCCCTTCACTCCCCGGCAGCACCATCTACTCCCTGCTGACATTTTGCACAGCACTCACAAGCCCTGAGGTCCCAGGTCCCTGCCCCAACGGAGCAACCCCTGGCCCGGTTTTTCCCCCTCAAACTGACAAACTGCTGTGGGCCATCCTCATGGGAGCAGGGAGATTCCCAGAACCTGGAGTTAGGAGGGACAGGGTGGCTCAGGAGGCAGCCCAGGCTCCACATGCCAGCTGGGAAGGCTTGGCACACATGCAGCCCCCTCAAGAGCTGCAGGAATTGGGGGAGAATCAGGTAGGAACAGCTCTGCTCCTGTTGCAGGGGCTGTGTGAAGTTCATGATGTTCAACCATGTCACGTGCAAGGTCCTGCCCCTGGCTCAGGGTGATTCCCAGTCAGTCCCAGCATAGGGTGAAGGGTGGATGGATGAATTCAGCCCTGGGGAGGACCTGGGGGCACTAGTGGTGACAAATGGTCCATGAGCTGGCACTGTGCACTGGAACCCAGAAACTCCTGTGTCCTGGGATGCCACCAGCAGTGTGACCAGCAGGGCCAGGGAGGGGATTGTCCCCTCTGCTGAGACCCCCCCCTGCAGGGCTGGGGCCAGGCTGGGGTCCCCAGCACAGGAAGGACACGGAGCTGTTGGAGAGGCCAGAGGAGGCCCCGGAGATGCTGGGAGGGCTGGAGCAGCTCTGGAGACAGGCTGGGAGAGTTGGGGTGTTGAGCCTGGAGAAGAGAAGGCTCCAGGGAGACCTGAGAGCAGCTTCCAGTGCCTGAAGGGGCTCCAGGAAAGCTGGGAGGGGCTTGGGCCAAGGGCAGGGAGGGATGGGAGCAGGGGGAAGGGTTTCCAGCTGGCAGAGGGAGCTGGAGCTGAGATGGGAGGGAGAAATTCTGGGCTGTGAGGGTGGGGAGCCCCTGGCCCAGGTTGCCCAGGGAAGCTGTGGCTGCCCCATCCCTGGGGGTGTTGAAGGGCAGGTTGGATGGGGCTTGGAGCAGCCTGGGCTGCTGGGACGTGTCCCTGGTTGGACTTTGAAAGGTCCCTTCCCACCAGGACCATCCTGTGAGTCACAGAACTGATGCTGAAGAAGCAGGGCCCGAGTCCTAGGGGAGGACGGGGGGACACAGCGCATACGCCCCGCGGCGACGAGTCCCCTCCAGAGCTTAAGCACCCGGCGAAACAAGCGGCCAAAGGGACAGAGAACAGGGAAGAAGCGGAGCGGTGCCCCCGGGCGGTGACGGACCGCGCTCCTAGGGCTTGCGCCTACAGAGGCCCCGGGGCGGAACGACAGTCCCGGGGAATCCCACCCAACCCGGAGATCCTCTCCG